CCTTCAGGTCAACACCTGCAGACCCTGTGTTCATTTAATGTTTTTTGCATGCAGAATCGCATGTCTTCTGCTTGACTGTTGTCATCTTGTCCCACAAATGTGCGACTCCAGTGATGGTTCCCCTCACAAACGTCTTGGTAAGCCTTTCATGCCATTCTCCTTTGTTGCCTAGGATACTTGGTGAACTTCGTCTGGCATGATCTCTTTGACATGCAGTTTGTTAACATCAGCTCTGCAGTAAACGGTTCTCGCTACACAGGCCTGTTGATATCAAGTTGCGGCGTGCTAACACTGACTCAGCTGGCAATCATTGGAGGTTCTTGGCGAGCAATTTGACAGTTGAGTGCTTGTGGGTGCAATTGTGTCTATAGTAGCTACAATTGTTTAGACTCGCATCAGCAAGTCATGGCCAGCTCCGGGCAGTGGACAAAACTTCATGAGCGTGCTGGAGATGTTGTTTTCCGAGATCCCTCCTTGGCCTTTCGTTGATTTAGTTGAGGTTTTCCATCGCCTGATCAACAACCAATGTCGGTGTGAATGAATACGGTTGCTGGTATCACTGCAACTCATCATTGTGAAGCTCTGACATAGATCTGCATGCAGAGGTTTTTATGGATCCGGCGTGCGATGAACCTGGAAGTTTTGAGATAAATCTAGGCTGGAATATGCAACAAAAAGTACTTACAATATGCTCAGTGCAACAAAGTAGACGGTGCCAAGTTGACCTTAACGTATAGCTTCTGGAACTGTTAACAGGTGTCATCACCTGCCGCATTACTTCCTAGCATTGAATTGGGTCCTGCTCTTACGAACTAGCGTCAACACTCTCGTAGTGGTTCTCACAATTGAAGGATTCTATATTCTTTGATGCCTAATGCCGCTTCTGCAAACGCGCTGTCTTATCCGCCGCATGCTTCAGATCAGCTGCTTATACCGCTGGCACCAAAGGTCGTCACGTACAACAGGTTGATCCTCAACAGGATTTCTCCATCCAGAGATCGAGAGTGCCTGAAGAGTTAACTTGTGCGCTTGCGATCGCTTGTTGTTAATGATTGCCATTTAAAATCTTGTTGATACCTAGTCACGCTACTGTACAGATCTGCTTCTTGCATGCGTCGTCAGAGGGACCTTAAATTATTTAAACCACTATAAAATTATGACTGATTAGATATATGTTCTTGACTAGAAATAAAAGTTAAAAAGCTAAAATAGAGTCGATTGCGTTTTAAAAATTTAAAAAATCCGTGGTAAGATTATATATATTTTTGATAATAACGTCGAAAACCTGTTTCTATCCATGCAAACAAGAGTTCAGATGAAAAGTTGTCTCAACTATAATTCATTGGTACCTAACTCTATGAACGCATTTCGATTATACGTTTAAAATAATGTTGAATACCAAAAATCATAAAAATCGCTTTAAAAAACGCCGCCATTTTGAAATTCAAATGGCCCTAAAATGTTACATGAAAACTGGCACCGTCATTTTTTTCTAATCACGGATCGTTTCTAGGTGGGGTAGTGTAAGTAGTAGTACGTACGTTAGGTGGTTCGGTACGTACGCGGTCGGTCGTGTCGTCGTACGTGGGGGTGGGTGTCGTGTCGTGTGTGTGTGTGTGTGTGTGTGTGTGTGTGTGTGTGTGTGTGTGTGTGTGTGTGTGCGGGCGTTCGTGTGTGTGCGTGCGTTCGTGTGTGTGCCCGCGCGCGCGTGTGATTGTTTGTATTTGGGGGCGTGTGCGTCCGTTCGTGTGTGTGCCCGCGCGCGTGTGTGAGTGTTTGCATTTGGGGGCGTGTGCGAGCGTGTGTATGTGTGGGCGCTGGTGTAGTGGGACTGTGTATGAACCTGTGTAGATAATTAGGTCATGTGATTTTGTCGGTGTGAATGTAAGTATTAGGTAAAGCCGTAACGTTCTGCATATCTCCATATAGCTATGACTAAACGAGGATAGCCGCATATTGCCTTGTGCGATGGGTAAGTGCCACCTTTATGACAAGAGTCCAACGAAACCATTATATAAACCATACATAAACTATTATAGGTGAGTGAAATAAGAATGAAATTAGCAGCGTACTTTATTAAGCCAAATCTGACAAATACACGTGTAAGCTGCGCAAGCAAGATGCCCTGAATCATACACGCGTGATTTTGTCTTGTTTCTCAGTATAATTGGGCAGTATAGGTGTTGGTCGGTAGCGTTAAAAGCCAGTGTGCTCCTAGACATGGCAGACTATACTTTCGAATAACACACATTTAAACCGGTTGCCGTAGGCAACGAAACTGTCACTGCGGTCCTTATTGCAGGGGTCTTGCGCAATAATTGCGTTAGAATTGTCTGTAGACAGGGATTAGCGAAAATGTATATAGTGGTCGTGCCGGTATGTCTCACCTAGTATGGTGTTTTGGCTCATGACTAAACATCAGTTGCGACATCAATAGATTGTAAATGATATGACTCGATCATCATCATACATGTATTCAGCTCTATTGTGGTGACAATAGGTTTAGTTAGTGTTATTCTATTTCAGATTAGATGAAGAGCACCCGTTGTTAAAGTAATTAAAGACTCGTATTCAATGATGATGATTCTATTTTCAATTAGAAATTAATGTTTCAAATGTTAAATAGTCGAATATATAGTGTTTTGCAAAATAAAACATGGTGCATGAGAGTTGGATGAAATAATTTCATTACCAAATCTCCTAAGATATATATGTGCGTGTGTGCGGGATGGCGTTATGTTTATATTTCTGAGCTACAGGTATGTAAACTTCATATCTATAATTACGAATCATGCGGAGCGTAGCACAAGTATTGGCAATGTGACATCGTTATTTAAAACGTGAGCGGTTGTAAGGTGGCGCGACAGGCAACAGTAAATGCCATATTTTAAAATTAGAAGTCTTCGTACCGAATGTAAAATGATGACCTTTAAATAATTTGCTTTCAGGCGTCACATCTGAAATGAAACGCTGTTAACGCTGTGAGGGCGATAATAAAATACATTTTGTCAACGATGCCGCTTGAGTTTCGAAGTTCGAATTCGAGTTTTGATACATTATAAATAAATGTACCCGTTTTTTTATTTCACAGTTTAGTATATACGTATATATATATATAAAGATATATATATATATATATATATATATATATATATAATATTAAGAGTCCATAATAGAAAATGGATTTTCCATAATAGATTTTCTATTATGGACTCTTGATAATATGTAAGTGTGTGCGCGTGTGCGCGTGTGCGTGCGTGGGATCCTAAAAATTTATCACAAAATTTCTCATGTCGGAAAAATTATATCTATCCTCGACATGATCTATTCTCGTGATTGTTTGATAAAAATTCAATCAATCAAATCTTCATCGGACAAAACTGATATACTGTTTATTGTACAAATTACATTACATGCATGATCTATCACCAGAATGCATCACTGAAGACCTCGCATTTCCGCGCGCGTGTCAACACACAGCAACAGCTCCACAACGTATTATTTATAAACCGCCTAGGTTTACTGGCGGCTAACTAGCAGCAAGCACTCGTCAATCGAGACCAGTCTTTCGACAACGCGGTGTTGCCGTCGGTATTTACAAGAAAAACAAATAAATAATAAACAGGCAAGCGTATTTATTTAGAAATCAGTCTGAGTGTATAGTATTCCATGCCGAGTCGCTCATGACGAGACTGTATACACTTTGTTGTTAGTTCTATATCTTTGGCATGTGCAACTCGCTCTCTCTCCGTCTCTCGCTTTCTATTGCTCTCTATTTCTATCTTTTTCTCTCTCTCTCTCTCTCTCTCTCTCTCTCTCTCTCTCGCTCCCTCTCCCTGGGCGCCCGCGCGCGCATGTGTGTCTGTGACATTATAGATAGCAAATTAGCAAAAAGGTTCATCACATTCAATGGCAGAGAGGGTAGATGGCGAGGGGCAGAGATGGATAGAGAGAGGGAGATAGGTGGAGAGAGAGACGTCGGACACGAAAAAGCGAAGAGCCGGTAAGACACTAGTCAGACAAAGTGTAACCCGAAGGAATCGCATATAAGAACCAAAACCTATTTACGTAAATTATCGGGACAAAAGAGGGAAAAATAAACACAATATAAAACATTAGAATTATAGGGAAGAGAAGTACTCTTCCCATTGTCTAGTCAAAGATTCCAGGCGCGTTTGTTAAAATAGAGATAGCTCCAGTTATAGTTACTGTTGTAAAAATGAATAGTAGTAGTCGGTCAAGCACCATGGCGGCGTATTGCCAGTCTTCCTTGATCTGCGATAAATAAAACAAGGACAACATCAGTAAAAATATAGCAACCCACGCAGAAATACGTAGTCGTCCAAACGATTTATTCATCTGCGCTTTGTCATTCTGGCCGGGCTTCAAGATTTTTAAAGTATATATATAAATATATATATATGTGTGTGTGTGTGTGTGTGTGTGTGTGTGTGTGTGTGTGTGTGTGTTTGTGTGTGTGTGTGTGTGTGTGTGTGTGTGTGTGTGTGTGTGTGTGTGTTGTGTGTGTGTGTGTGTGTGTGTGTGTGTGTGTGTGTGTGTGTGTGTGTTGAAAACGGTTGAAAACAATTTTGACCGTTGGAATTATTTATAAAACGTTTCCACATACTTATATCTCCCCTCTCTATCCCTCGGTGTTTTTCACTATGTCATACTCCCCCTCTCTTAATCTCCCCCTATCCACCATATCTCTCTCATTCTCTCTGTCTCTCTGTCTCTCTGTCTCTCTGTCTCTCTTACCCAGTACAGACTGCAAATTTGAAACAACATTAAAGTAGTCCGGGCCAGGTGCGGGTCCATCAAATTTTTGCAGTGTGTACCCGCTATCCCGCTCCAAATACGCGCTGGTCCGCTCCAATTTTGCCCCGCAAATAAAGGAGGGCCAAGCCCTGGATAATTTGGCCCGGACCAAGTTAGCCCGCTCTAAGCTGTGTCTGTACGCAAAACGCGGGCCTGTCTCCCGTGCCATTTCGCAATACGCATGCGCCTAGCCTTATTTAGGTCACATAAAAGTACAGTAGCTGTCTGCGGAGTGACGTAGCGAGTCAATCCATAACTCATTTGATGTTGGATCAAATTTTGTGTCTGTACGCTACGATTTGGTGCACGCTTGGCGCGCGACAGGCCCGTACCAATTTAATGTGGGGGTCAAAATTTGCAGTCTGTACGGGGTAAGATGTCTTTGTCTCTGTCTCTGTCTCTGTCTTTGTCTCTGGTCTCTGTCGCTGTTTCTGTCTCTGTCTCTGTGTCTTTATTTAAAGTTATCCCGCTCTAAGCTGTGTCTGTTTCTCTGTCTCTCTGTCTCTCTGTCTCTCTCGCTCTGACTCTCTATCTCATTACCTCATTGTTGACCTTATGGTAAACCTATCTTTGCATACTTACATCTGACACTGTATCTTCTAGGTGCAGATGTTCGGCGATGAACTCAATCGCCAGCGCCGCGCGCAGTCCCTCCGCTGTCATGACAACGTCGTCATCGCTGCTGCCCGGCTCGCTAGCTGACTGCATGACTACGTGCTTGCATCCGGGGTGATGCATGTCGAGGGGTTCCAACTCCGTACCATCCATATCGTCGAAGCAGCTGTTCGTGACGTTGGCGAAACCGTAGCAGTCGATGTTCAACTGCGGCTGCATGTCTTTCGGCCGTCGCATGCAGAGCACCTGCACATTAAATAATTTAGTTAATTAGTTAATACGTAGTTAATATGTAATTTAGTCAATTTAGTTAATAATTAAATTATTAGTCGTTTTTTTAGTAATTGAGTAAGTTATGTTCGAGATAAATGCTCCATTTACTTTCTCAAGTAGGTGGTCCCGCGACGCCCTCGCACCGGTAAAGATTTATTTATTCAAATATATTGATTAACAGTCTATGGTAAGTTGCTATTACTCTCTATCGAAATTAAATTATTTTATATCATACAATGATATTCGACGACATTTAATTCCGAGACCTTTGGTAGCGTGTCGATCATAATAGTCTTCACCCACTTCGGCATGCTGTGCGTCGTAGGGCCTCGGAAGTGCCAGTTCTGTATGATGGCCGTCATTAGGATGGTGATGATGTTCAGTATCAGTGTAAACAACAGGTACTTTGACACGAGCGGAATCGTCAGCGACGTCGGCGGCAGAACGCTGGACACCAGCAGGAGGAAGACGACGAGCGCCAGCAGCAGGTTGATAGCCAGCGTCATCTTCTCGCCGCTGTCCACGGGCAGGTAGAAGACGGTCGCCGCCAGCATGGCTATCATCACGCAGGGAATGACGAGGTTCACCGTGTAGAACAGCGTCATGCGGCTCAAGTGGATCTCAAAGATCATCGTCGCGTACTCGGAGCCGCCGCTGCCATTGTTGTCGATGCGCCGCGGCGCCGAGCTGAGGTCCCACGTGCCGCTCAGCACGTAGTCGTTGAGATCGACCTTCGTCACCTCTTTGTTGTAGTCGCCCAGCTTCACCTCGTCTTTGTTGAACGTCCACGAGCCGAATTTCATCTCGCACACCTGCTTGTCGAACGGAAAGTACTCGACGTTGATCGTGCACGAGCTTTTAAAGATGGCCGGAGGAACCCAGTTGATCCAGCCGTTGTTGTCGATGAGGACGTTACTCCTGAAGCTCACCTCGTACACTCCGTCCGCACTGAAATGGCAGTGGAAGACAGTGAGATTAAAAACGCGGCGACCGGAAGAGACGTCATAGTGATTAGTCCTACTTAGCGATGCCGTATTGAGGAAATACGCGGTAGGTATTGCCAAAATAGTAATTAACGAGAAGAACTGCTAAAGACGTTAATAAATGCTAATTCGTATGACGGCATTATCCGAGGTTGATGTCATGGCGACCATGACGTAATGGCTATTAGTGTACGAACGAAGTTGTCACATCCGTTGGTATAGCACATCGTATCGTTCATTATATAAATTCGTATAATTGTATAGTGCATTCCGATGAGTTTACATAATGTTTTATATATTCTTCCAGCATATATAGAATGGAGAATTATACTACATATGACCGCTTACTTGTTAAGTAGAACGATATCGGGGAGCCAAACCTTGGCAGGTGCAACTCGTATTATCGTGATGCCATCATAGTTCGCCGGATCCCACGTCAATTGATAGTCTTGCCACCACTAATGGTGACAATTATAATTAAACATCCAAGATATTAGCAAGGATACACTCAGGCAGCCAATGCAAATTATTAAATACATATATGAAAATGTGATCGTCATATTTAAGTAAAAAGCTAACACTATGTTAGGGTTTGTCCGTATAAAAAGCTCGAACTAACTTGTTATCGCTAGTAAAAGGATCCAACAATAAAATGACTCAAAACCCTTATAATCACTTTACAAGTAGTCTAAATCTTAATATATTTTCTTAAAACCTACAACTAAGGTTCGTACACACTAGGGCCACTGTTTGCCATTGCGTTGTTGCAAACACTTATGTGTACGCACTGTAGTGGCGATCTCTATGGGAGCTTCAAATAGTTTCATAGTACACACACACACACACACACACACACACACACACACACACACACACACACACACACACACACACACACA